CATATAACACACTAAGATATAATGAGGTTTGTGTAAATCAATTCTTTATGGCTTACTAAGCAAACCATAATTTTAAAGACTCTGGCTATATTGTTCTATACCAATAAACAAAGAGAGACTTTAACTACCATAACCATTTACAGATCATGGACTCCTTTAGCTGTAACACACTTTGATTCAGTATTAATGAATAAACTTGCCTAGGCTTTACATTCACACATTTCTCCTTTCATGTATAAAATGATTATGTTGTAGGGGAACCGTAATTTAATTCAAGGAACTATTATTTATTGTAAGGATTAATATGAAGCTACTATGTTTCTAATTTGTTTGAAACAACTATAGTTAGTCTATGTCAGAATATTCCAAGTATGGACATGAGGACTAGAGACATAACCTTTTTCAGGTAATGACCACAGACTGTTATTTCTGAATTAGGCTAATAAGAGATTTGTTTAAATACTGAAGACCAATATAAAACATAGCATCCGCATTTGCAATATAAATCTCCATCACAAGTTCAATCCCAACTGTCTGACCACATCTGTTTTCAAAGAATATGCAAAATATACTGAAATACAAATTCTGATTTGAAGGTTGATTGTTAATGGACTGGATGTGAGATAACAATGAGCCTTCCTCTGTTTAAACTGGGAGCTTCTTGCCAGTGCCACTACCCATCTTAATATAGAGATAGAGTCAGATTTGGGCAAGATGGCAGACGTGATTATTCTTGAAAGGAGCTATTTGGGTATGTTCTTAGATCTAACATTACAGTAGGTAAACTAGGTATGGTTTTGCATAGCTTTTTCCATTTTCCCAGCTATACTTATTGCCGACAGATCTAATTATGACCATGCATGTCTTAACCATATTTAAGTTGGATTGCTGAAATTCACTTTGTACAGTGCTGACTTTGAGAAGTGTTTGAAAAGTGCAGTTTTCAAACAGTTTTGTGAAGCATGTAACTCTACTGCTATCCCATCTGTGCTAACTCCTACTATATTTCTAAATCTATTCAAAGTGCTTATTTATTGTTTTTAAAAGCTTCAGCTGCTTGGGACCAGGTTGCTTAGATAACTCCTGTAAATACTTACTGTACATGCTTGATTATCAATCAATTTTATTTATGGCCAAATGCCCAAAAGCAAGTTACAAATATAATCTGAACTTGGCATTAAATAAACGAGTTTAACAAATAAGATATTTAATAAATGTTATATGATACACTTAAAACCCCAACTCATTGATTAGTTACTAAAAACATTGTTCTTATAGCCATAGTTAAAAATCTGGCTGTTGCCACTGTAATTTTAGGATTTTCATCGGCAAGTAAATTTTTTACATACTCAGAAGTATCTGTTCCTGGTTTGGATTTTAAAATAGGTCAAATAACTTCCTGCCGAAGACTCTTATAAAATTCATAATACTGTAAAATGGGATCTACCATTTAAAGATCAGTACCATTACAGAGACAGAATCTTTGAGATGGGAATTTTTTGAAATCTACCATATAGCATATTTGATGGAAACACATTTAATCTGGCTTTTGAAAAAAACTATTCTGTATTTACTTAAATATAAGCTATTCAGATATTTAGGGTTGAAAAGTACATTTGTAGTTAATTCCAAAGGTTACAAATGAACATGAAACTTTGGCTTTAGCCACTGATTCCTGTACTGAATTATCCCATAAACTTTGTTTGATACAATGAAATGCTGATGACATACCCCTGGAGAATAAATAATCAGGATCAATGCCAATCTAAACTTTTGAGTCACCTGTTTAAACCACATATCTACAAAGGATTCATTTGGGACTTCCTGAAGCAATCCTTTTTAAAAACAAGTTATAACATATAACATATACTTGCAACCAAAACTTAACAGCACTTAACCAAGCCTTTGTTTCCAAAGGACATTGCCCAGATTATCTTCTGCTAGTTGACTTGTTATGTTCAGCTCGTTATATAATTGTTCAAAAATTACATAGTAACCAACCATTCTAATCATCTCACAGCAAATTAGAGATGGAATTTGCATGCATAAATAAATAAGACTAAGATATCAAAATAGAAGTTGGCATATGTGTTCAAGAAACAAATCCTGTTCAGACCCAACATTAACATTTTTAAGGTAGCCAAGAATGAATGAGGCCTCTAAAAAAAAAAAACCTGCAGATGATTTTATATAAAAATCATTGCAACCTTATCAACGGCAATACCATTATTAAACACTGTAAAGAACAGATAGAGTACCGAGAGCTGTATTAATGTCATTAAATGCCGTGTTAAGGGATAAAACAGATTATAATTCTGACAACCATTCAGGAATAAGATCATTCTTTAACTTTCTTGATGCTGATATTATTAAAAAGCTGGATAAGAATCTGGCAGATGTTTTAGATGTATAACTTTATATTACCTCAATGCAATAATCACTTCAAACACTGCAAAAGAACATATTTTTTCTACATATTAGGAAATAAAACATTTCTACAAAATAATTTTCTACATATTAGGAAATAAAACATTTCTACAAAAGCATCCCATATGTGATCTGGACTTACCGTGAATTCTTTATGCCCAGGTACCCATTCTACATAAACTTTTGCATCCTTGAGTACCTCTTATACTGAGATAAATACATCAGACTTAAAATATCTCATAGTTACTAAACAAACTTATCACCAGGAATTTACCGAATTGCAGTGAGAGGTATAAATAAATGCACATTATAATAAACACAGACAGCTGCTTGTGCTTGTTTTCATTATGACAGAAAGCAAGGAAAGACTAATACTGAAAGATTGCACCTCATTTACAATATCACTCAAAAACAAACAAAATTATATGGTCAGTTGAACACTAGGGTGCCATGGAAGGGACGAGATATGCTCCACTTTATTAAGACTCCAATACATATGGCAGATACATTTCCATGTATTTAAAAGCTATACTGGAAGAAAGCATGATATTCAAATACTACTTACTCTATAGAACTCAATGAATAAAACAAGATTTAGATTACTATGACTACAATCTCATACAACTACTCTACAACTAATGACTACAATTAGATTACAATGACTACAGTACTCAGGCAAGGTCATTTAATATTTTTTGGTCTTTAATTCTGTCATGCTTAAAATCAATAATGATAGCTTTTTCACTTTCAGAGTAAAATCTGCTAATCCCCTTACAAACCAAATATACTTTCTGGACAAAGTTTATAATCTTGACACTGAAGCCTGCTTTCCACTTCTCAACTACAGAGCCATCAACCCCAGACAGAATTACGCTTTAGGAAATATTGTATCAAATAACTTTTAATGGATCTATCTGTTCAATGCACACATATTCACGTTCTTCTGTGCATTTATATTTTCTGTAACAAAGAAGGAATGCATGCCCTTCCAGATGTTGAACTCTTTGCAAGATACCAAGCTAGGGAGATTTGATATATTTCTGAAGACAAAAGCATAATTCAAGATAGTATCTTGAACACAGAATGAAATCCAGCAGGATGGTATTTAACTATAACAAGTAGAAGGCCCTGTATTCAGGTATGAAAAATCAAATGCATACGTATAGGACTGGGGATCTTGATTTGGTAGCAATTTGGGTGAAAATGGTCTAGGGGTACTAGTGACCACTAGTACCACATGAGCAAGCAATGTGTTATGTTATGTCCAGTTTATGGCATTCAACACTGGTTAGATAGCACTCGAATTACTGTCCTCCTTTCTCAGACCTTATGGCTGGAGAAAATTCAGAAGAGAGCTATCAAAATTCAGAAGAGAGCTATCAAGATGACAAAGGGTCTGGAAATCAAGCTCTCCGAAGAACTGGACATACTGCTGAGCTTGTGAAAGAGATGAAAGGGAATCATGATAATGATCTACAAATATCTAAAAGGAGGTCATGTGCAAATGGGATGGGCCTGTTCTCTATTGTGATGGAAGACAGGGCAAGGGCCAATAGGTTGAAATGAAGAAAAATAAGATTCTGGCTAAATGTTATAAAGAACTACAAGATAATAAGAGAGGTTAAGCAGGGAAACAGTCTCCCCTTCCATGGAGGGGTTCAACTGGGGACTGACGATCACCTGTCGGGATTTCTGCACTGAGCAAGAGAAGCCACAAGCCTCGTACGTTTTGCGATTCCTCCTCTCAGCTCTAGCCTGATGGGTCCTGCTCACTCCCTCACTCAATGGACACTTAACATGATAATCAGCGGTTGAATTAACCACGGCTCCATGAACTAACCCAACCGCATCCACGCACGAACAGCAGGAGAGAGGCTTGTCAGGCGTTACTCCAAGCCAAGCCTGAACCCCTCTACCCCGAGATTTCCCACCTGCTCGCACTCAGCAGGAGGACCAACCTGGGGAAGCGAAGGCCCAGAGAGCTCGGGCGGGGGGGACAGGGAGGCGGTAAGAAGAGCCCCGCGACCCTTCTCAAGGCCCGGCTGGAGCAGAGCGAAGAGGGGAGGCAGCCGAGGCCCCAGGCCTGCCCCGAAGGAAAAGGACGGGAAGATGAAGGCGGAGGGGCGAAACTGCCTCCCTCGCACTCACCGGCGTGCTGGTCCCGCGGCCACAGGTAATAGGTGGCGGGGATAACGATGAGGGCTACGAAGCTGGTGAGGAAGTAGAAGAAGGTGTTGCCGCTGTCATCGTACTGGAACTGCTGCCCGGCCATAGCTGCTCGCACGCCCCGCCCCCCGCTCGGCTTGCGTGCTCGCTCGTTCAAGCAGCCCCAGCGGCGGTCTCTGCAGGGATCCCGCGAGAATGGGGACGGGGAAAGGGAGGAGCAGCGGGAAGGGGAGGAGCAGCGCTCTCGCTCGCCCGCCGCTCTCACCACTCGCTCACGCTTTGCCCCTTGCCTCCGGCAAAGCGGCCCTCCTCACAAGGAAGACGACGTGTCACTGCGCAAGCGCCATCGCAACCATTGTGACGTCGCAGTGGCAAGCGGGCGCTTCCGGTTCCTTGGCCGGTCCCGGGTAGGATTGGCTGAGCCGGCGGCGCTCTCCTCGCCCGACTGGTTGGGAGGTGTCTGGCGGGAGAGTTCGAAGGAACGCCGAAGCAGGTGTGACTTCTTTCAGATAGCGTCATAATAGTGGGTGGAGAAGGTGTGGATTTAAAAAATTAAGTTTCCTTCCAAATGAAGGAAACCTGTAGCTTCTTTGTCAAGGAAGTGGTTTGCCTGTTTCCCAGATTTTTTTTCTCTTCCTAGTCTTGCTCTATATATAGTCCTGGTATTCTCTGAAAATTTCTCTTCTAGGTACTGACTTTTAGGACTTCTTGCGAGATTGAAAATGTTTTGTGATGGGATCAATTCTGGATCTGCTTTAACAACACATTTGCTGCATCCAGTTGCTTAGGTTTGAACAATGTATCATAAAGAAACCACAAAGGCTGGTTTCTCATAACAGTACAAATTAACTGACCCCATTTTGTGTCAATCCACATCACAATGGACTAGTGTATGATTTACTTGTGAGCTAAACCACACTTGATTGGGTTTACATACATATTAAGCTGTAAACATGGTTTACTGGTTTACAAACCATGCTGGCTGGATTGTATAACATACTAAGTCACAAACCCAGTTTTAGGGTTCACACACATGTAATGTGTGAACACTGTCTCTTTCTTTCTGAATCTCTATTTCACTGTCTCCATTTTGTCCCTTTAACTCCAAAGAAAGCTTATTAAGAATGTAAGAGAGAAGGGGAACTGCTGAGGAAACAAGATTGAAGTATACTGTAGTTTTTGAAAGACCAGCCGACAAATTGGAAATTGTGAATCTGTCTCTAAACTGTTACCATTTCAAGATACTTGAGATTAGATTGCATTCTACTAAGTGGGACTTATTTCCCAGTTCATATCTGTTGGGTAGTCTACGTGAAATGTTAACGAATTGTGCTGGCAGTCTATTGAGATTAATAATTTAGTTTAGTTCTTTTATAGTACAGGGCCTTTCTCCATTTGTATTTAATCACAGTACATATATGCCCTGGCAATTTTTTTTATTGTGCTGTATCCCCACGATATTAGCTTTATTTTGGTCCCAGCCCATAAGTGAGACAGCCTTAAGTTATTCTTAGCCATTCTGGCTTTAAAATAACCGGCAGCAATGTCAAGGCAAGTAAAATCTGATGCATTTCATTTCACTATTCTGTCAGGGTCAGTCAGGTGACATGTGGGGACTGCGTACCACCTATTGGGCACTTCAGGCTGGTGTTGGTATGCGCCCTTTCCCGCAGTCCTAGCATTCTTCTCTGCCACCATTCTTTTTTTCCCTCCAGAAGAAAAGAGCAGGACACAGCTGAAGCTCCTATGTACCATCAGCTCCCAACAACCTGGCCAAAGAGCTGATCAGCCACTGAGGGAGTAACATGATACAGCTAGAAACTCAGCTCTCTTAAAATCCAGGTTTTGAAAAAGTCATTTCTCACACTCTTCAAGGTAGTGTCTCCGTCCTGCTGATCAGCTGTTTTGCAAGCTTTTTTTGACTACAGTTTAGGATTCTTTGAAGCTTCTAGTTTGTTTCCCAACCAACACCATAATCACTTTTTGTACAAAGTTAGAGTGGCCACCATTTTTTTTATTTGTTTGCAAGAATTAGAATGTAAAACCCAAGTTGGTAGTTATGTTCAAATTCTGGTTTCTATAAGTCAAAACCAGTGACTTCCTTGCATGATTCAAGTAGCCTACGCCTAACACTTTGCTTAAAGAATTGTGTTCAAGGAGATAAATGAGGTGTGTGCTGTTCTTTTCATCTATTGCATAGACTTATATCAAGTGTCTCCTGTGAATTGTGCAGGGCTGCTGCAAATCAACTTCATGAAGGTGCAGCCAAGCCATTGCTAGTAGTTTGGACAGAATGGACTATTGAGTGGGCTGTTGATGAATGGCAGACACATGTAGAACACAGAATGACATATAGAGGGATAGAGCAACAATGGCAAAAAAATTAACAACTGTTGAAATATGGTCCTGGTCTTTCTTTCCCACATTTGTTACCTTTAGTTTGTACTACATTCATTGTACTAAAGCTATGGTTTGATAAACCATGGTTTACTGAATAAACCACCACCAGATGGATTTATACAACATGCTCAGCCACAACCAAAAACCACAACATGGCTTAGCCCAGTGAGTAAATCCATGTATTTATGAGGGAGTGAAAGGGAAGAAGGAGAATGCAATTTGTTTAGTCTTTGTCAATGAGAAGGAAGACTGCATTATCTGTAGCTTACCATTCCCAGAAGGTTACGGGGGATATGGAAATGCATTGGCTCTTTTTCCATAGCACCCTTAACTAGATCAATAAAGGGGTTAGTATGTTGTGGAAGCACCCAAAATGAGCCAACTGACCTAGTCAACTAACTTCCAAAGGCATTAAATTTAAGCCAAAACAGAGCCAGGTTAATCTAGTCAGTTATACCATGGGAGTATCTAAGCCCGCTTAATTGATCTGCTTTACATACATAATCCTATGGGAAAAGGAGCTGGAATGAAGAGTTGAAAACCAATTCTCTTTGTTATCAAACTCACTACCGAGGCCTGGCAACACGAAATGTAGTCCCAAAGTCTGGCTGTAGTGGCCAAGTGATATCTATTGCTCCCTGCCTGAAAAACAGGAAGGGGATGAAGATACCTTGAAGCCTTGACCGTCTTCTCTTGGTGCAAGGGGTCATGAAATGCTATGCAGCTCCTAGAAGGGTAGAACTCTATTTCCTAATGTATATTTTCTGACCCAGTGTGGTTTTGGATTGCCAATACTACTTCATTAGGAAATTGGATTGGATTAAGGATGTTCTAGGTTCAGAGCCATTCGGTAGATCTATCTTTGGGACCATATCTCCTTGTCTATGCTGGAGGGAGTGGAGGAGACATCTTTACAGTCTTTGCTATCTTCATCTTTTCCTCTCTTCAGAGCATCTTAGTGAACATAGGATTTTCAGCCACCTCTCCATCTTAGTAACCTTCCTCTGAACTCATTCCTGCAATCTGAAAAGAACATCAGTGTTCTTTTCAGATTGCAGTTCCCAAGACTGGACACTATTTTAAGTGGGACCCGGTTAATGCAGAGTAGAGTGTAACTGTTACTTCCTGTGATCTGGACTCTAGACTCCTGTTAATACATCCCAAAATAGCATTTGTTTTTACTGGTTGTATTATGCTATTAGCTTGTGTTTAACTTGTGATATACTATAACACCTGGATCTGTTTCACTACCGCCAAGTCAGTTCCCCCATATCTTATACTTGTGATTTTTTTTTTAGTCTTCCCAAATGTAGAACTTTGCATCTCTTCCTGTTAAATTCCATCTTGTGTGTTTCAGCCCATTGTTTAAGCCTGTCTGGATCTTTTCCAGCAAGCACTGGCATTGTCAGATTGTTATCAGTCCCAGTGTGATAGGAAGGCACTTGAATCTAGGGTCATCATGCGTGAACAGTTAGGGTAAAATGTCAAGTGTGGCATTATTGCAGGAGAAATCTGTTGGGCCAGCATGGTTAGAAGGATGAGAACCAGAATTAGGTGGAGCCTCATTCTTTCTTTAACACAGCTGCCTTTCTTGCACCTCCTTCTCGAACATTTTCTTTGCTGACTGTCTTCTGGCACATATTGCAGGTGGTCTAAGAAGGGACATACTGCTTTTGCATTGGTCTGACTCAATTACTTACAGCCATAGGCTGCACATGGTGTAGGATATAAATTCCCAATGAGTGTAGTGGAAAGTGAGAAGAGGGTAATTTTTAGGGATCACAGTGTTCATTAACTAAAGTAGAAGTATTTTGATTGATTGTCCAACATCAGTCTTGTTTATGTATTTCAGAGACACAGACTTTTCAGAAACTGTTTCTGATCAGCAGATGGCAGCCTAACTATACTCTTTCTTATGCCACTGCTGTTGTCAGCAAGGTCAAAGAAGGTTCCCTTCTCTAAATCAGCAGTGAACACCTTAAATACTTATATTTCTCCAAAAAGAAAGATTAGTATGGTTCTTTTATTTTATGACCCAGTCTTAATGCAAATAGACCATCACATCGGTACACTCAGAATTGCCAGAAATTCTAGCCAAACTGGTTTCCATGTTACACACACTTCATTCCCATAGAAAAGGCTGTATTTCTTTCATATTTTCCTTTGACTTTTTTGCCATTTGTATCCAAATAGGAGCATGGCTGAATTTGCACAACACACCACAGTAAATCAAAACACCCTTGGTTGGTTTGTGGCTTTGTTCACTGTGGGAAACCAAATCAACTCCTTTGCTGTACTAATGCTGTAATCTTTCTATCTCTGAAAATGGACTGAAGGAAACCAAAGACTGTATTGGGAACCTGCTAATGGAAGCAACACACATTGTAGTTACAAAGGAATTGATGGCTTCAGAGATTTTCTGAGGCATACTAAGAGCCACTTTACAGATTCTTTTTTTCTTTTTTAAACTGATATGCTGCATCTGTAGAAAAACATGGAAAATAAAAGAAAGCACCAATCAGAGTGATTAACAGCACTGGGAAGAAATATCCAAGCACCTGCCTTGTATATGGATTGTTATGGGGCTATGTCTTCTCTATGGGTAAAAAGGACCCCTTCATTCCAATAGGGTTATAGACTAGACTGGGAAATGAAGAAACATCTCAAAAGAAAGCAAGGGCAACCCACTTCCATATTGTTGTCAAGAAAACTATATGGATGAGTCCATGAATTCATGGAGAACTTAATCCCTACTTAAACACTCTAGTTTCACCTTTCCTAGTCTTTGCTCCACAGACATGCTAAGACTGGAATGCCCAGAATTCCCAGATGGGGAAACTCCTGCCAGACTGAGGATTCTGAAGCCTGCAGTTCCAAAACTTTTGAGATACAAGATTGAGGAAAGTTGCACTAGTAGACACTTGAGGTGTCCTATTTGTCAAGAGCCCTTTTTACCCCAGCTGCAGTCATGGGAGAGCTTTGGATTGTTCAGAATAAAATCTTCTGAAATGTGCTATAAACATAAAGGGATACCTTAGCAACTACAGTTGGTGAGACAGTCTGTTTTAAAATAATGCAAATAAATTTACCATA